AATTCAAAGTGTAGCATTTGGTGTCTGTCCTAGATCGGGAAACAACAAGGCTGCCAACTTCTCCATTATTGTAGAAGCTTGGATAGCCTTACATCACATTCAGAGTGAACAAGAAAAAGTCCCCTGGAAAATAATCCAACATGTCGAAATGTAGTATTTACACATAATATGAACATAAATATGTAAACCTCGAGAGAGAGTTTAGGGATAAGCGAGATAACGAGTGTACCAGAAGTCCCTCACCAGGCCTCATTAGACTACAAAGATCAATACAAACTCGATCACCTATTCCAACTGCAAGAACTCGAGTTAGAGTGGCTTTAGTCAAGCTTAGCCTGCTGTGAACTTCATTCCTTCTATCGAAATACTCCTAAAAATTTAAAGCATGTCAATGAACAATCGTTGGTTAACTAGAAAATCCAGAAACTAGCACTGATTACCTTCAAATCAAGAACAACTTTGACATCCTCAGCTTTTAAAACCACCCCACCGAGTCCGTGCTCCAAAGCCTACAAAGGAAATATAGTCATTGGATGGAAAATGCAATAGAGAGCCAACTCGACTATACAAAGAGGAACACAAAATCACAGATACTACAAGGATACACCCGTATTTTCTAAGATAACTTGTGAATACCTCAAGAATAGTTGCACTTTAGCAGGTGATTTCGAGATGGCAAACATAGTTGTTTGACTCCCTTGAAACTCTGCCACAATATTTTTAGCAGGTACCACCTAGAAAAATGAACAAGATTACAACATTTCGTAAGACCAATACATTCGATGAGATAAATTTAGTTGAATTTCCAGATTCGTCGACCCGAAAAAAGTCAAAAGATATACAACCAAATTTTAGCTAAGCATAAAGAGCAAGATAACTTAATGAATACCAAATCAAAAAGGTAGATCAAATAAATCAACTCAATGTAGGCTTAGAAAATGAAAAATATGAATCCATATCCAACACTCGCACTCGAGTCCAAATAATATTGGTTCAGAATCTCGTACCTACCAGTCCTGTAAATCAATAACGACATTCCCTATATGTCCAGCATCAGGCTGGAGTTTCTTTAAGTTCGAGGGAGTTGAAACCTGAAAAATGGTAGCGACTCTTTCGCTAGTACTATTGATAGCCTTTCCCTCTTTAATAAAAATAGGTAATTGAGAGCTAATTTGTAAATGAGAAGCAAGTGGGGTACTTACATGTTTTGTGTTTTCATTCATACCAAAACATTGTAATATCTTTTTCAGGTATTTCTTCTGAGTTAAACAAAGTTTGCCACTCTGTCTGTATATAATTGTCTACATGCCAAGAATCTTTCTTGGCCTAACCTAGATCCTTCATATCGAATTCTTGATTCAACTGATCCTTCAATTTGTTTATCTCTTGTTGACTCTTTGAAGCAATCAACATATTATCAACATACAAGAGGAGGTAAATGAATGACCCATCTTGTAGTTTTCGTAAATATGCACAATAGTCGTATTTGCTTCTTGTATATTTTTTCATCCTCATATAACTATCAAATCACTTATACCATTGCCTCAGAGATTACTTCAATCCATAAAGTGACTTGTTTAGCTTACAAACTCATTTGTTACCACCAGCATCTTTGTATCCTTATAGCTCAATCATATAGGTCTCCTCTTCCAAATCACAGTGTAAGAAAGTTGTCTTTACATCGAGTTAAGCTAGCTCCAAATTCAATTGTGCTACTAAAGCCAATAATATTCTAATGGATGAATACTTCACAACATAGGAAAATACTTTATTGTAGTCAATTCTGTTCATCTGGATGTAGCCTTTAGTTACCAATCTTTCCTTGTAGCGAACATTTTTCTTGTTAGGGTATCCATCTTTCTTTACAAATACTCAAGTGCATTTGATTTCCCTTTTACCTTTTGATAAATATACCAAATCCTAGGTGTTATTCTTCTAGAGAGATTGCATTTCTTTATCCATGGCACTTTTCCACTTGTCACTTTCTAAGCTTTGCATTACTTCTTGATAAGTGAAAGGAATATCATCATCAATAATTAGAAGAGCATAGGCCACCATATTTGTAAATTGAGAAGTTCTACAAATTTATCTCCTTAGCCTTCTAATTGCAAGTGGTTCTAACATCTCTAATGATTATTGGGTTTGAACCTCTTATTCTTCTTCTTCCGCTTGCTCCATTGGAGTTTGAAAATCAGTAACATCAATTGTTGGGCTAATCATCATTTGTTGAAGCTCTACATGTTTTGGAGTACACTCCACATGCTGTGGAGTATTTCTCATCTGAACATCTTCATTTGTTACATTTTTCAACATGATAAATTCATCAAAGGTAACATAACTGCTACAAATTATCTTTTTTATGTCTAAGAACCAAAGATGAAATCCTTTAGCTCCATATTTGATCCTAATAAAGAGAGCCTTATTTTCTCTAAGATCTAACTTTGACTCATTCATATGAAAGTATGTTGTGGATCCAAATACATGTAAGGAATCATACTTTATAGGGGGTTTTCCAAACTATACTCTAACGGTGTTTTTTCTCCAATCGTTGATAACGGTAGACAATTGATAAGATGATTAACAAATATCAGCCACATCCCAAAATGGTTTTCCCAACCCAACATTGACCAACATACATCTCTAGTATGTTCAATTTATACGCTCAACCATCCATTTTGTTGTGGTGTATGTCTAACAGTAAAGTTTCGAATAATACCATGCTCTTGGCTAACGTCAAAGAGCATATCACTTTTATATTCCCTTCCATTATCCGTCCTAAGCCGTTTGATCTTCCTGCTAGTCTGATTCTCGATCATATTTTTCCACTTTAAGAAAATTTTGAGCACTTCATCTTTAAACTTCATCGTATACACCCAAATTCTTCTGGAAAAGTCATAAACTAAAGTTACAAAATATTTTTACCTCCCAACGATGTTTTTTTTGGAAGGACCTCACACATCTAAGTGAACATAATCCAAAATGCCTTTCGTATTATGGATAGTTGTGCCAATTTTCACTTTCTTTTTCTTTCCCAGAATGCAATGCTCACAAAAGTTTAACTTGCAAGTCTTTGCACCTTTTAATAATCCTTGCTTTGCCAGAATTTGTAAGGATTTTTCACCAACATGTCCCAACCGCATATACCACAACAAGGTTGAATCCAATCTATATCTCTCGAAACTTGTTGCTACTCTAATAAATATACTACCTTGGTAATAATACAAGTTATTTTTCCTGATATCCTTCATTATCATAAATACACCGGATGTAATCTTTAAAACTCCATCTCTCATATTGACGACTAAGTCTTTATATTTCAAGGCTCCTAACGAGATGATATTCTTCTTTAAACTGGGCATATACCGAATATCAATCAAAATTCTAATTAATCTATCTTGATTCTTCAATTGAATTGAACCTATTCCCATAGTTGTACATGCATTGGCATTGTCCATATAAACAACTCCTCGATTTTGTTCTACTAAATTGGAGAACCACTCCCGATTAGGGGACATATGATATGTATAATCAAAATCCAATATCCACTCGTCTAAATGGAATGTTGATGGTGAAGCAACCAATGATATTTCAGAGTCACTAGTATCATGTTCTGTAACACGTACATCTGGAGTAGTTTTTCCTTTATTCTTCAGCTTTGAGCAATCTTCTTCCAATGATTTTTCTGATGAGAAAAGGCACATTCATATTTACCAAGTCTGGACTTTAGCTTTAATCTACCTCTCCACTTTGACTTTTGATTTTTTGAGCGATCTCTTGCCACCATGGCTTCTACTGCATTATACTTGCTCTTCATCTTGGTTTTCTTTTTAAGATCATAACTATACTAAGTATCATTTACATCTTTAAAGCATATTTCATCTTTTCCATGAAGTAACGTTGTTTCAAGGTACTTAAATTAATTTGGAAGTGATGACAACAACAATAAAACCAAATCTTCATCTTTGAAAGTTTCATCCATGCCCAATAAGTCTGATACTAACTCATTAAATGCAATGATGTGTTCATTCATATTGGTTCCTAGTTGATAATCAAATTTGAATGGTTTTTTTTCTTCATGTGAAGACGATTCTAATAGCTTTTCTTTAGGATTTTTTCCTCCAATGATTTCCACAACTTGCTTGCAGAAGTCTCATTCTTGTAGCCATACTTCTAATCAATGGAAAGACAAGATCAAATCATACAACACGTCATACAGTTGATTGTTTTCCAATCTTTCTCCTCCATATGTGCGGGTTTTTCTTCCTCAGCGGCAATGTCTAGACCTTGTTGGAATAAAATGTCTAGAACCTCACCTTGCCACATGTCAAAATGATTGGATCCATCGAACAACTCCACAGAAAAGCTTGCATTTGAAATTATCCTCCTTACCGGTATAAAGAAGAGCTTGTTGTCTCATATGACCTATCTTTTTCCATGACAACAAATAATGTTCAACAATACGAAATGGATATTATGAACAATGCACCAGGTAAGTTCCTAGGAAAGAGAGGTGGATCACACGGATCGCTTAAATACCAAGTATTTCCTAGCCAGTACTTTCCTAGACATGCACTATCACAATACCACACTACTTTGCAGCAACCGAAATAACCTTTACACTACAAGAAAATATACCTTTAATGACACACGAACGATGACACACGCTAATTTATGACTTGTAAAAATGTGTGTCATAAAAAATATCATGTTTCTTAAAATCTGAACGATTTATATGTGTCATATTTAATAGTCATAATCCAAAAACTTTAGCAAACACACAGAGTACACTTTTCATTGTGTGTCATCTCTAAAAGTCGTCTTTCAATTTCCCCTCATAATTTCCATCACGTATGCATGCTTTCCCGCTTTAAAATTTTAAAGCCTACCTTTCCTCTGTCTTCACACACAACAAATCTATCTATGTCCGTACAATCCCCTCACCACGCCATTGTTATATCCCCCTCCTCAAATCTTTTGTTTTTCTTGGAGAGTTAATAATAATGGGGGTTGGTCGAGAAGTAGCAATATCACTCGATGGTGTGAGGGACAAGAACGTGATGCTGTTAAAGAAGCTCAACACTGCTATCTTCCCCGTTCGTTACAACGAAAAGTACTACGCCGATGCTCTGGCTTCCGGAAAATTCACAAAGCTTGGTTTGCCTCCTTTCCTCCCCCAATTTTTTCTGGTTTTTCGTTATTTTCTTTAGAAAGCATGTTATTCTCCCGTTGTTGTGTTCGATTCTTGTTTGGGTTTTTTTCTTCATAATTATTTCTTTTTGAATCTTGGGGTTTTCTTTGTCGTTCTTCTGTATATTTCATCTAATGGAAAATTTATCGGTGTTCTTTAGTAAATTAAGGAATTTAAGCTGCTGGTCTTGATTTATGCCTTCATTTCTCTTGTTTTTTGTTCTTTGCATTGGTTAATTGTTGTTCTTTTATGGTTTGATTTACATTGACTTTTGATGATATACTACAAGTGGCCTTTGATACAAGTAAGGTATTGTATGTTGTCAGTTCAGTGTGCTCCCATTTGATCATTGGAAAAAGTAATTTATTTGTTGGATTAAACAGTTCCACTTTAGATTACATTGTTCTATTGATTGCGTTCGGAGGCATTTACTAACTAACTAACACATTTAATTATTTTTCAATTGTCAATTTTTTTGGGGGTTTATTGAAACCAAGAAATGACTAGATATTGTTCAGTTTATGCCTAAAAAACACTCTTCAGTTCTGTTGTTGTGCTTGTGATGCCTTGCACTCATATGTTACTGATTGTATTTGGTGCACTTCTTGATTCTGCCATGATCTTCTACTTATTATGAAACGTTAATTGATCCATCCCTATCCTGCATTTCTTTTAAACTTTTAAGCTATAGGTAGTAGCTATAAGTAATTTTTTTCTTAGAATTTTCAAGTCATAAAATCCCTAGCTAAAGATTTCCCAATTCTGAAATTTGCTACCCTGCATTGGAGGGCACTTATTGAGATTTGATGGTCTATAACACTGAAACTGTAGGAATTTCAAAACCTGTTATTTTTTGGAGAGTATTTATCCTATAACTTTCTTCTGCATTGGTAATTGCATATTTGTTTTTCTCCTTAATCCTTAGGTCATGCTCAAAGAAATAGACTTGATTGAAGTTTTGAGTGACTAGCCTCATCTAATTCTACGATCTTAGCAATGTGCAGAGCATGATTGAGATGTCTTTTGTCACAATGCCTTTAGCATTTGACATCAATTACTAGTATGGTGCATTTATGGTTAGAAATAATAAATGTTATTGTTTTTCAATTTGATGGCTTGAAAAAAATTGTGGATGGTTACACATGCACACACTCATATATCATATTACACGAGTTGGGGCCTAATGAGAGATTAAGTTGGAAAGTGACCTGTATAATTCAAAAGTTAGCATGTTATTCTAACAATCACACGTTTGCTTGCTAACTCAGCATATTACAGTGACATCTTTGTTGGATCAATTGCTTGTCGAATGGAAAAGAAGAAAGGTGGGTTCATACATATGGACCTTTAAATTGTTCTAAGCATCTGAGCATTCTTGTTGCTACTCGGGATGCTTAAGTATCATGAAATCATAATCAATTTGATGCTTAGCTAATTGCCTCAAACATGTTTTTGCTAAAATTACGTTGCCATTGATTCTTAGTAAGATCCATAGTTTGTTAAAAACCATGTATCATTGGTTTTTTCGTTTGTCTGAAATTTTTGCTTAAATCTTGAATTTATGCAGGTACTAAGCTATTGAACCATGTTCTTGAGCTTTGTTTGAAGAAATACATACCAGAGATCTAAATGTCAGCCTATATAATCACGAGTTTGTTTTTTCATTTGATTATCAATATATTTTAGTAACTTAATTTGGTTTTTGGTTTTTATAGAAGACATTGGGTGTTGGTGGTGATAGATATAAAAGCAACAAGTTGTTATTATCTTGATTCCTTGGGTCCCACCAATGTCCATCAGCAGTTGAAGCAGATTATTGATGTGTAAGTAACATAAATTATTAAAACATTATAGTATATTCTTTGATATATTTCATCAATTTTTATAGGGCAATGATATTGTACACTGCTCAAAGTGGATCTAACAAAAGGGTTAGCCTAAATTGGATCAATGTTTTGGTGAGGACTTCAATCAATCATTCCTTGTTTAAATTGCAGCTTTCATTTTGACTAATCGTTTATTGTAAACTGTTTGTAGTGTCCCCTTCAGTCGGGAGGTACCGGTTGGATATTATGTTTGTAAGTTCATGAAAGAGATAGTCGAGAACGAACTTGAAGTGCTGGTTAATAAGAATGTAAGCAAACTTTTCTGATACACATCTGTCATATCATACATACACATTAGTCATACAACAATCATATGGACTTGAAGTAGGATGCTATTCTAAACAAATTAATGCAAGTACTTGTTAGCAAGACTGAAAATGTGAATTCGTGCCGTGATAATGTATATAATTTATATGGGAAGTTTTACTAATTAAATGTGTAAAATTTATTTTTACATATGCTTCAAAGAATGCATATGTAAAATTGGTCATTTTAGTACTCTTTGATAGTTATATACTTCACTTTAAATAAGTATAAGTTATATACTTATTTCATATTTTTTACTTAGGTTGGCGATAGGAAGGAAGAATACGCGGATGATGACATTGATGATATTTGCAAAGAATGAGTATCTTATGTGGTAAACTTTATTATGCCATGATATTTTGTATCGACATATGATTACAATATTTTTTATAACTTAATGTTAATATATTGTATGCAAATGGATTGCTTATATATAATATGATATATATATTTAGTATTATGAGGCATTAAATGTGATTTAGTATTACGACATACAATCACGACACACGAATGTGTGTCATCTTTTTAATGACGTGTTCTTCAATGACATGCAATGTAAGTCGTAAATGTAAGTCATAAATGCGTGTCATAAATTTGGCACACAAATGTGTGTCATCTTCATTTATGACGGGGGCTTTAATGACGTGCAATGCACGTCATAAATGCGCGCCATAAATGCGCGTCATAGATTTATGACACACAATTGTGTGTCATCTGAGATTTATGAAGTTGGCTTCAATGACACGCATTTGTGTGTCATCTGCACCCATAGATGATGCGTAATGCGCGTCATTAAAGGGTTTTTTCTATTAGTGTCACTGAAGCTCTGGTGCCAATTGTTGGGGAAACTGGATTATATCCCACACGAACATAGCTTCAAATCTGAATTAAAATATGAAGATCAAAATTACCGAAATTTACACAACAAACAAATCTATCAAACTATTGAGTATTGTAATCCAATGAAAAATCAATATTGAACGATTAAAATAAACAATGGAGAGAACACGTAGAATTTACGAGGTTCGACGAAATGTTGTCTACTCCTCGGGCACTACCACTGGATGATAACTTCACTATTACCAAAAATGGTACAAACAAATGGAATTGCATAAGAATTCCCAAATAGAACAAATGGGAGAGAGTTTGAGATTGAGATGATTTCAAATGAAATAGTTAAGCCTATTTATAATTGAGCTTTAGGGATTGATCTTGTAAATAATCTAATAGTTTAGGGACCAAATGACAATTATCCCATGCACCATGTAATATTAAACAAATGGTTTTATTTAATTTTAAATTAAATGACATTGAAACTCGCATTCCAAGCCATTCGTAATAGGTAAATCAACATGCATGAATGGAAACTAGCTAGCTTTTGTCGTTTTAGATATAAATTTTACTTTAATCTAACGTATCTTTAAATGAAACAAAACTAAATTTAAGTATGATTCAAAAATTAATTAAATGAATAAAACGGAATAAAAGTAATAATTAAAATATTAAATATATAATTTAATTTAGAGAATAATAATGTGACTAATCTACCTGCTACGTCATTGCACTTACTTGATTGGTTTTTCAAGTATTACTAAATGGGGAATGGGGATAAACTTAAAATTTTATGTTGTGAGATGAATTTTTAAAATGGTAAGAAGGATGAATTTATAAAGTTATAAAAATATAAAAGTAAATTATCAATAAAATGTATATAAGATATATGAAAATATTAGTCAGAACATATGACAAACTATTTTCCTTAAACATTAGACACATAAATGAACGTAAAATAGTATTCTTGGACATTGATTTTGCTTTGCCTATTAATCATTGAATTTTGGCTGCTTAAATTTGGGTGCTTAAATTTGGTGTATCTTATCTCTTCATTGACAATATAAAACTCGTTCCCCATCAAGCTTTCCTCAATTTCCTTTCTGCCTACCAATATCTGTTATTCTTGATCATATTAGATTCAGGTAAGAAATTTCTTTTATATAAAATAAAAAACTTTGAAATTCTGCATTTGCTTATAAATCCCTTTTTTTTTATTAATCGATCGTATTGCATGTTTTTTTATATTTTATTTAGAGTGGTAGCCATGTAAATCTTCAAGAAAGCTAGCGTTGTTCGTTTACAGGTGTTTACAAAACACTTACTCACAAGAAAACTCTCTAGTATTGAGAGAAAGAAATGATTTGGGATTTTGGGATGATTTTGAAGCTAAATGAGCTAGGGTATTTATAGTTGAAACTTATGGACTAATATTTGAAAACACCCTAAAGTGCAATGACTAAAGTTGGTTGCCAAACTTTGAAACTAACTTTTAACAATCTCCCACTTGAAGACTAATTTTAATCTGTCTTTACACCTCGATCAATGCAGCAGTATTTTTGGTCTTGTTTCCGTAGTCACCGTCTTTGTCAACATATCTGCCAGATTTTGAGCTCCACTAATCTTTTCAAGTTTCAAAATCCCATCTTCCAGAAGAGATCGGATAAAATGATATCTCAATTGTATGTGCTTCGTCCTGGAATGAAAAGACAGATTCTTTGCTAGATGGATAGCACTTTGACTGTCACAATACAAGACATTGTTTTCTTGTTTCTTGCCTAACTCTTCCAAGAAACTTTGGAGCCAAACCATCTCCTTGCTAGGTTCGTAACAGCGACATATTCTGCTTCAGTTGTGGAGAGAGCAACTATCTTCTGTAGTTGAGAAACCCAACTCACTGCAGTTCCTCCTAGAGTATAGACATACCATGTAGTGCTACTTCTGATGTCAATATTTCTGGCTAAGTCAGCATCTACATAGCCTGTCAATATCGTATCTCCACCTTTGAAACAAATTGCTTTGTTTGTGGTACCTCGCAGATATCTGAGGATCCATTTGACTGCTTCCCAGTGTACCTTGCCCGGATTATTCATGTACCTGCTAACGGCTCCACTGCATGAGCAATATCTGGTCTGGTACATACCATGGCATACATCAGACTTCCAATTGCTGAGGCATACGACACCTTTACCATGTGTGCACGTTCTTTCTCCGTCTTTGGTGATTGTTCTTTGGAGAGTCTAAAATGAACACCTAAAGGTGTACTTACTGGTTTAGCATCTTGCATGTTGATCCTGGAGAGTAATTTGTTGATGTACTCAGCCTATGATAACATCAAAGTCCCCGACTTTGTGTCTCTCTTGATCCTCATCCCAAGAATCTGCTTTGCAGCACCCAGATCCTTCATAGCAAACTGCTTCGACAATTTTTGCTTCAAGTGTATAATCTCTTGCATGTTTGAGCCCGCAACGAGCATGTCATCAACGTACAACAATAAAATAATGAAGCTATTGTTGAACCTCTTGATGTAGCAACAATGATCTGCTTGGCATCTGGTAAAACCACTACTACCCATGAAGCTATCGAACTTCTTGTACCACTGTCTAGGAGCTTGTTTTAAACCATACAAGCTCTTCTTCAACCTGCATACCAGGTTTTTCTTGCCTGCCTCTATGAAGCCTTCTGGCTGCCTCATATAGATTTCTTCCTCCAAATCACCATGAAGGAAAGCTGTCTTTACATCTAACTGCTCAAGATGTAAATTTTCTGCAGCTACAATTTTCAACATCAGTCTGATTGTAGACAGTTTTACAACTGGAGAGAAAATTTCATTGTAGTCAATACCTTCTTTTTGCTGAAAACCTTTGACAACCAATCTTTCTTTGTAGCGTTTGCTCCCATCGTGCTCTTCCTTGATCATGTAAATCCACTTGTTGTGGAGTGCTTTCTTGCCTGGTGGTAATTCAGCTAATTCCAACGTCTAATTTGACATAAGCGAGTCCATCTCATCTTTCATGGAAGACTCCCACTTGACTGAATCCTCCACTGCATTGCTTCATCATAGCACTCTAGTTCACCATTGTCAGTCAGCAACAAGTATTGCAAAGAAGGCGAATAACGTTGGGTTAGTTTAGGAATTCTGGAGGAGCATCTTAGTTTCAGTGTGCCTTGTTCTTCTTGAACTGCTTCAGGACTGATCTGAACATCATTTCTAGAAATCTCCTCGAACTCAACAAATTCCTTTGTTTCAGCTTTGGTATTGGAGCTGCTTGATTCTACAATTAACTGTCTTTGTACATCACATTCTCATTGAATATGACATCTCTACTTCTGATGATCTTCCGATTTTCATAGTCCCAAAACCGGTAGCCGAACTCATCACCACCATAACCAACAAAGACACATTTGTTGGACTTGGCATCAAGTTTACTTCTTTCAGCAGAGTTTATGTATACATAAGAAATACAACCAAACACTCTTAAGTATGAAAGATTTATTTCTTTCTTGCTCCAAACTTCCTCTGGTATTCTGCCATCCAAATGAACTGAGGGCCCATGGTTGATCAGGTAAGCTGCAGTGTTGATAGCTTCAGCCCATAGAAATTTGGGCAATCCGACATATATCCTCATGCTTCTGGCACGTTCATTCAGAGTTCTATTTATGCGCTCTGCTACGCCATTCTGTTGCGGTGTCATGGGAACTGTTGTCTCCATCTTGATCCCATTGTTTGCGCAAAATTCTCTGAATCAACGATTTTTTTACTCTCCTCCATTATCAGACCTCAACTGCTTGACTTTCAGACCAGTCTCATTTTCCACCATGGCCTTTCATTTTCTGAAGGTATCAAAGACTTCTGATTTTTCTTCAGAAAATAAACCCACACATTCCTTGTAGAATCATCGATGAAGGTGACATAATATAATGAGCCTGCAAGAGATGGAACTGGAGATGGTCCCCATACATAGTATGAACCAACTCTAACTTTTCAGCCTTGGGTGTCTTACCAATCTTTGCAAAGCTAACTTTCTTTTGTTTGCCAAAGATGCAATCCTCGCATAGTCCGACATCTACATTCTTTAGATCCGGCAACTTCCCCTTTGATAAAAGTGTCTTCATCCCTTTCTCGTTCATATGGCCAAGCCTTTGGTGCCATAGATTTGATTTTCCATCAGCATCTGCTACTGCAATGATATTCTCTAAATTTGAGGTTATATAGAGAGTATCAGTTTTCTTACCACGAGAAATGACGAATGCTCCTTTGGTAATCTTCCATTCACAGCCTGAAAAGGTTGTACTATATCCTTCTCCATCAAGTTGTCCTACAGAAATCAAATTCCTTTTGAGGCCATGAATATGTCTCCTCCTGCCAGCTTCCAGGTGGTCTGGTTTGGCAGCTTTAATCGGATGTCTCCTTTTCCGACGATCTTCAAGGTTTCATCATCAGCTAGATGAACCCTCCCAAAATCACCACTGACATAGTTCTCCATGATTTCTCGGCATAGGGTGGAGTGGAAAGATGCTCCTGAATCCAAGATCCATGATTCAATCGGACTATTGACGCTTAGAATCATGGCATCACCTGTATCCTCTGTCACGTTGGCAGATTCCTGTGCGCCGATATTTTTCTTCGGTGCTCGGCAATCCTTTTTAAAGTGGCCCTTCTTGCCGCAGTTATAACAGGTAAAATCTTTCTTTCCCATTCTTGATTTTCCCGTTCTGGATTTGGATCTGCCACGATTTGAATTTCTTTCTGAAGTTCTCCCTCTGTACTCCGTGTGCAAGGCTGAGGAGGTTGATGCTTCACCCGATTCTCTCTGTTGAATTTCTTCACTCAATACCAGATCCTGAACATCTTTGAATTTTAATTTGCTGTTTCCCGACGAGCTGCTGACTGCTGTAACAATAGCATTCCAACTGTCTGGTAGAGATGATAAGAGAATTAAAGCTCGAACTTCATCATCGAATCCAATTTCCACGGAACTCAACTGGGTTGTGATTGTGTTGAGTTCATTTAGGTGTTGAGTCACCGATGCCCCTTCCGCCATCCTCAAATTGAACAATCGCCTCATCAAATGAACTTTGTTTGAGGCCGATGGCTTCTCATACATACTGGAGAGAGCTGCCATAAGACCCTCCGTGGCCTTTTCCTTTGCTATGTTGAAAGCAACATTGCGGGATAACGTCATTCGGATAACTCCGAGGGCTTGTCTGTCGAGAAGAGCCCAGTCTTCATTCTTCATGCCCTCTGGTTGCTTTCCTGAGAGGTTGATATAGATTTTTCTGGTACAAAAAATCTTCAATCTGCATCTTCCAAAAGCCAAAGTCCGCACCGTCGAACTTTTCAATTTTCACCTTCCCTTCGTCTGCAGCCATCGGTCCCACTCGAATCTGGCTTCTTTGGATCGTTCTGACAATTTTCGCGAACCACCGTGTATTAGAACACCTCCGTCGATAAATTTGTATCGCCGACAAAATTTCACTATTCACGAAATTCACTATTCATGTGAATATTAACCTCGCAAAAAATTGACAAAATTCACAACCAAAAGCTCTGATTACCAATTGTTGGGAAATTAACAGAGTACGAGTAATTTTCCTATAACCAGATTAGTGAGAATGCGAAATAAAAGCGGAAAAATAATACCCGAAATTGATAACGGAGTTCAGCCAATTTTGCTTACGTCTCCGGACTGCTGCAGATCTTTTACTAGAGAGAAAATTTACAGGTGTTTACAAAACACACTACTCACAAGAAAGCTCTCTAGTATTGAGAGAAAGAAATGATTTGGGATTTTAGGATGATTTTGAAGCTAAATGAGCTAGGGTATTTATAGTTGAAACTTAGGGACAAATATTTGAAAATATCCTAAAGTGCAATGACTAAAGTGAATTTACCCATTCTATTTTCAACAAACATTTATCAAACTTTACCAAACTTTGAAAACATTTTTCAAAAAAACATTTACCAAACTTTGAAAATCATTTTTCAAAGTTGGTTGCCAAACTTTGAAACTAACTTTTAACAGTATTGCATGTTTGTTTATATTTTATTTAGAGTGGTAGCCATGTAAATCTTCGAGAAAGCTAGCGTTGTTCATTTATGTAGCCACCACGACAAGTTCTTAGTAGCCAACGATGAACAAGAAACCGTCGGCCAAGATCGAGATGATCATCGACGAATGCGCGGTGGACAGTGGAGTTCCCCGAATCAAGTTCGTTCCATATTCGTCTCAGAAGTTGTCACGGAAAATACTTAACTGCTTCAAATATACCGTTTCTCATCGGACTCCGAGGGAAAAGGGTGTTGCAAATGTTGCCGAGACGACTTACATCTGCAGTTGAATGGGAGGCCCTTAGTGAAGGCGTTCAGGTTAGGTTCAAGACGCGTTATGGCCAGTATTTGCGCGCCAACGGCAGGTTCCCGCCGTGGATGGGTCACATTACGCATGATATCCCTCATCGATCCATCACACAAGATTGGATTCTTTGGAACGTTGAGATTTTAGAACATCGGGATGACGAACCTTTGCCTCGTCTTCTGCCTCCTCCGGTGGATACATCGTCTTCGCAGCATCCAATCAATAAAACCAATATCGAATCAAATTCAGATGATCATGCTTCACCTTCACAGATCTCACTTAGGGGACCTATAGCGTCTACACTTGAGGTTTGATGAACATGGTCTGGGTTTAATCGATGAATTTATTTACGTTGAGAGCCTGATAACTCAACAGAAGGTTCACTGGCGGCATTTGAAGGAAGGGTAATCAAGTACGAAGTGGTCGATAAAAATGGTGATGTTGATGCGATGGTCGTAGAGCGAAGCTTCACGTTTAAAGGAAGTGGGGTGGTGGGGTTGAAGAAGATGTTGAAGGAGGAGACAGGTGTGGATGAGGAGTTCACCATTTGCTCGCGAAACCCTTTGAACGGCAAGCTTTATCCGCTTCGATTGCATCTTCCTCCAAACAATTCCGCCATGCACGTTGTTGTTGCTCCTCAATCATCTACAGGTTGTCAATTTATAATATAATAGTAGATTAAATTGTAAAAAATTAGTTAATCTGAGTAATATAATACCAGTATATTAAATTGATGTTTTTCCATAAACTAATAATCATTGTTTTTGTGGAATTTATACCAGCGGCGAAAGATCTTGGGAGTAGTTGAGCCTTACACCCTACTGCACATACGACGGGCTGCTAATGAAGTCACAGGGAGGGGGAAAGGAACAAAAATGCTTAAAGAATTAATGTAGCGTATTACTTGTGCCATTTTCAACAAAGGACATGCCTTCCAACAGTTGGATTTTCCTTTTGTTAGATTTTATATGAAACAACTTGTCCGTAATTCTTTCATTTGTTGCACAGAGTAATATTATCCACTTCCATTGAGAAAACCAACCTACTAAAGCTTTGAATTGGTTATCTATATGTAGAAAGCATGTCAAGGCCAATGTGGTATTAAAAGCTACTCATTTCTCTCTTTTTCAAAAAGATAAAAACTAATCCAAACATAAAATTTTCCAATTAAACAAAATATAATCTGTTCGTAGACACAAGACATTCCTTCAGGTTCAATAGGAAAGTAAATGCCAAATTTGGACCAAGCCATGCCTTCGAAGTGGGTGTTTAACGGTGAAGGAATTGCATCTTCTAAAAACAACCATACAATCTTACTACGGATTACTATATCATCGAAAATATCAAAACTTGATAACATGAAAAATATTCTCAATTCCACCTATTAAAAATCGCTTAATAATAGATCCAACCAACCAGCCTTTTGAGAAGAGAAAAAAAAACAGAAAAATCCGATAAAGGGAATGAGAGAAACAATGATGATCGGCTTATTAACACGTTTCATGCAAAAAAAAAAAATACCTCAAAAGATATGTAAAACAAGACATGGTTAAAAGAAGTTATATCGCCTCTATTTTTCTCCACTTCATTATTTTCTAAAATGAAAAACCATTGGCATAAAGGAATATTGGATGGCAACACCATCAAAGTCGATAAACAGAAAATTCTTAAGCCTACCATACTCTTTCACCAAAATGAGCTCATTATGTCATAATAAGTTCTCAAGGCTTAAGTGCCAAAGCAAGTCCCACCTTGGGGCTCTTGTCAATCGACTTTGTATCCACCTCTCCAGAAACTGTAAACAGGGACTTCGGACGCCACTCGTGCTGGATTAGAGCACCCGCCTTGCCCACATTGTTCACCCGTGCCTTCACGGTGGTCAATGGATCCAATGCATGTTGTGTTCCCACAGTGATGGTGTTCACATTGGTAGAGAAGCTATGGGTCACTTCTGCACCAACAGCGGTGTTAGTAAACGGGTTCACAATATGATAGTAGGATGCGTTGACAGAGTCACCCTTTTCGTTCCTGCACCAATCAACAAGGTATTAAGATAGGGACATATACTCTTCGAATGTTCAGCTTTAGAAAGGTACATAGAAACATAATCACATACAGAGCCAGTGAAGCAGTGAGATCCGCATTGGTGAAACTCAATCCAGCATTGCATTTGGTGAAATTTCCAGTCTTTGTGTCGAACGAGATATCAGTACCGAATGCAAGAACATTTGTCCCAAGTACACCCGAGAAGTTAACTACTGGGTTTGCAGTTAATCCAATGCTTGAGCTTATCCCAGAATACTCATGCAAATACTGGAGTTCAATCTGGTATACATGGAGAGAAAATAGACAAGTCCAACAGCATCAGGAAGCTGTACCAATGCTTAGAGGAAATTGCAAGAAGCTCTCGTGCTAAAAGACAACAAAATGGTAGTTCCCGGTGTTACAAATTGAAATTTGATGACAGAATTGTGTACCTTTCCAGACCTCTGATCAGGGACTCTAAAGCTAAAGATTGTCTTCAGCCCAGGTGCAGGCTCATCAACCGTTATGGTGGTAAATAGCTGAAAAATGCAAACTTTAGTACAACAAATAATGTTCAACATAGCTTATAAAAGTTGGCATGCACAGAAATCATTAGCAAAGGAATACAAGGAAAAAAAGAAAGAAACTATGAACTCAACCAAAGAGATCCTTTACTTGCATGGCATTTCTACCAAAGAGATTAGATCCCCAAAAGTTACATCATGATCCAGTTATATTATGTTCTAAATGATGTTATCAAGCACACATTCTCCTGGTTAAAACACATGTTTCAAAGTAGAGGGGATAATCCGTGCATGGAAAAGGTAAAACCAATTGAGAAAATAACATCATATCTCACGCACTAAAAAGAAATTGTAACCAAGCAGTCCAAGTTACACATCAAATAAACTACAAATCAACAAATAAAAAAAAACAGACAAAATACTTACATTGGAGTTGGTGTCCACTTTAATATCAGTTGTAACATTCTTGTTCTTCAGCTGGGTGTTAACATCAGCTAGAAAGAGTTCCCCTTTCTTCGTTCCAGCGGAGGTGATTGCCTAAAGATAAAGAGGGAAAACCCAAGAACAAAGAATTAGTTCAAATTCAAGAAATCAAGCATCTCACAGAATACATTGAAGTCAAAAGAATGATATAACCATGCTAAAATCCTAAAACATAATAGCAAGAAATGAACTAAATCAAAACATATATAAGAGTCAAAAAGATGCATCTATATAATAGACTTTAAGACCAGCTTAAATTATTCGTTCTTTTCGTAATTAACATAACCTTACCATAAGACATGCATGAAAAATGTTCCTACAAAACCTAAAGAAAAATAAATTCAAAATGTAAACAAAAACAGCATTCAGGTTCACTGAAATAAAAAAACATGCCTTTTGTACCAAGCTAAAGAAACCTAAGAAATCTCAACAATATCATAACAGGAAAAAAATCAAAACTTGGTTCTCACAGAGCATAGCAACTAAAATCAATTCCTTAAATAAAAAAATCTAGAGGAAAATAAAATAGATAAATCCAGAAAATAAAAATCCAAAATTTAACCCCCAAAGAAAAAGAAAAAATATTAAGAACTTACAACTCCAGTGGGAGAGGTAGTAGTCAGAGTGAACTTTTGGTCAGTCTGATAGTCCTTGTAAAGAAGGTCTATAAAACCCAAAAAATAAAATAAAAATAAATATTAGAGCTTCGAAGCTTCAAATAGATACGAAATTTCTGCTAAAAAAAATAAATCGTATTTTTATACCTCTGGCTTTCTTGCCGATTTCAGTGTAAAGACCAGGACCCTTGCCCATCTTGTTTTCTTTGGGGGAGGAAGACGCTTGAGGGAGAATTTCAGTGATAAAAGAAGAAGAAGAATGAGAAATGAAGGTTCCTTAGAGGTGGATAAATAAATAGGGGAATCCAGAACCCTAAACCACCCATTCCGGGGATTGGGGGTTCAAATATTTTTTTATTAACGAAAAACTGTGAACCGTGGGATGATAGAGGTGAGTCGGTTTCTCTTCGCTTTAACCGTTGATCCTACTCGGCCATCAAGAAACATTTCTTTAAAAAATTGGGTTTTTCTTTTTATACTAATTGAATTCTATTTCTTGGTCATGGAAATAAGATTTTGTGTTGGTGATTACTTTTTAATACTAATCGTTGTTTTTAAATATCTAAAAAATTCAAACACCTATGTAACATTAATTTCATTTTAATATTCTCAAACTACATTTTACCGAAAAATAATATTCTCAAAGTTTTTTGTCTCAACTTTTCAACTTTTTATTTTCTAAATTTGCCGACAAATTTATTAAAAGAAGAACTTAAAATTGTTAAAAAGACGAAGAAATTTGGAAACAGAAAGAAAATGGCGTAAAAATGGTGCTTCAAAAAAAGAGGTGTAGGTGAAAGGTGGATACTCATAACATAGTTTCGAAGATTACATCATATTTACATCAATACACGAATAATAGTCAAATCTTATTAAAATTTATATTGAAAATTAAACATTTATATTAAAAATTAGATAAAATGTTAATATTATTTGATTAATAATTAAATTAAAATGTTATTATATCAAAATATTTGGGAGGTGACAAAGTCGTTCCTGTCTAAGAACAAGAAACTCTAATTGTTACCATAAATGCTTCTACATTATAATTTTAGGACTAACATACATCATAGTGATAAAAGTTGGGCACATTAACTTATAGCTTAATTATCATAACATCCGGATAAATCAAAAAATTAATTCTAGAGTTTTTTTTTACTAAAGTTGAGTTTTACATTTAAAATAAAAAATGTGGTTTGGTCATCAATCTTTGTTTGATATATTATTAGATCACCTAAAGTGTAACCCCTCATACCGATGCGGGTAACCAGATCCGATCTGGAGTGTCACATTAGGGCCACCGGAGCGACCCACTGTAAAAATAGCGGAAAATTTAAAATTTTTATTAAAACATGTAACTTATAAAATGATTTATCAGTATACATAAATAAAACAGATTTTCAAACTCGTATATAAAACAAATTACAATTACATGCCCTCTAATCACATGTACCATACTCTGCAAGCAACGCCGGAAGAACTTCTTTACTGATGTCGATAGATGCACTGTACGTTTCTTTTAACCTGAAAATATGAGTAACAGAGTGAGCTTTGGAAAGCTCAGTAATAAAGAACTACCAGATGATGCTGAAGAATGTGCAAATACAGATAAACATATATTTCCTTATCGGTTTAGACATCTACAAATCTTTATGTTGAGGGAAAATCCTACTAATATTTCAGGTAGTAACAGACAGTGAGCTTTCAGTTCAGAGAAATATTTCGGATGACTAAGTTCAGGAGATCAGAATAGGTTATCTAGTGTGTTCCCACCAAAACCAGTGAAAAGATACAGATCTTTTTAAAACAATAGCAGTTTAAAACATATTTACCCTTGCACAAAGCAGAGGAGCATGCAAAATCGGTAAGGTCTTACCCTTCCACATAGAAAAAGAGCATGGGGAAACTATAAGGTCTTACCCTTGCACACAGCAAAGGAACATGGGGAAACTGTAAGGCTTACCCTTGTACACAGCAAAGGAACCTGGGGAAACTGTAAGGCTTACCCTTGCACACAACAAAGGAACTTGGGGAAACTGTAAGGCTTACCCTTGCACACAGCAAATGAACCTGGGGAAACTGTAAGGCTTACCCTTGCACACAACAAAGGAACCTGGGGAAACTGTAAGGCTGACCCTTGCACACAGCAAAGGAGCATGCGATAACGGTAAGGACTTACTCTTGCACATAGCAGAGGAGCTGAAATACTTCCTCCAATCATACCCCCAATGACAATAATAAACATGTATGTATTGGAGTGAAAACGGTAATTAATCCATTAAAATATAAAATTGTTTCATATTTAGAAATCAGGTACAAAAATACCGTAACCAGAAACCATATCTGAAATATATGGTGAATCAGATATCAAAATAAACTGTATTCAGAACATCGAGTATTGTCTCATAAAAATGTTCAGTATATGATTTATCAGATCATATTTTCCAGTGAAAACAAGACCCGATAACATATTTCAGGTAACTATAGATCATAAAACCAGTAGATTCCAAGATGTCGTAAATCAGGAATAATTCATATTTTTTGTGAAAATCGTAATCGGAAACATATAACATGTTGCCATGGTTCGTAAACCAATAAATCAATAATTTCGTTGAAACTCATTTAAAAACATATAAAATCGTCATGTAGTACATATGGAAACACACTAGAATATCCAAGTATTTTTCAGAGACACTTGATTGTTATCAAAATAGATAACATGAAATTGATGTAATTTTATCGAATTCAAGGAACGAGATCCTATTGAAGGGAATCGATTGCTAACCGATCTAATCTGACATTTAAGGTTGATACTTTAAAATCACACTATGATTCATGTGTGTCAAGAAAGTGTTTAGGAACCTTTATAGAAAATAATTCTAGATTCAGATTTACTGAGAGTGATTTTGTTACCCAACAATCGGGGTATTCAGGAGTATGTATTTAATTAACAGGATTTTAGTCCAATTGAACCTAATGGGGTATTCAGAATTCTTTACATCTGAGTTACTTGTATTTTCATATATGACCGTAATGATTTAAGTTGAAAAGGGAGAAACGAAGATTTAGGGAACTTATAATTTGTGTCAATCTATCAGATTATCGAACAACTCGAGCTGAACAACTCCTAAAACTAATGCCTGTTGAATGGTCAATTCATTGCCCTTCTAGTGTATTCACTCTTTAATACCAACAATTCATGTTCATAGATCATCTTTAGAATCATCGATGAATATATCTTAAGGAGACAAACATATATTCCATAGGACTTTATTCCATTTCCACGTTTCAACTGTATCAGGACACATCGACTTACTTGATTTATGGTTCATAACCCATAGGGATGGTACATCATGTAAGTTCATCAGAGTTTCCAGACTTATCCAAATCATTTACTTAATTCTCAATCATTGAAGTTGCTAAGTTCATTTATTAGTCAAGTATATCCTGATCACTTCAGAGTTTCCAAAGTAATTTGGTCGTTTCAACGATTCAGACACGTACAATACTTCCATTCAGTTCATTTCAGAGATGTGGGTATTAGAAATTTAAAGGTTTAGAGATATTTTAAGCCATTATACACTTTAGGGCATTTTGGTCATTTTACACTTTAGGGGTAATTTAGTTATTTTACAGATATTATTTCAATCCTTTCCTTCCGTCCGGTCTTATTATTTATTTCAAAAGTATCATCTTTTCCAGTCCTTCCGAACAATCCTGACAAAAGAGCACCCTCGATAACTTATTCTCAACTTAGAGATTTTCAGATCAATTGCCTTCTCAGAAGTTACAACTAGGTTATCAGGAATTTTCTATACAAAGACAGAATCTTAACAATTAAATCCGTAATTTATCGGGTTAGTTACGAAATCTTAGGGTACTTTCTCATTCAGGGTCAGCTTGGACTATTTTTACCTCTCAAGGCATTTTCGTAATTTCATAACCAGATAATTTCGGTGTTAAACTCTTAACAAGGATAATATAATTTGGAGATCCTAAGGTTAATTATTTTTCCCAGATAATCTCTGAACTTGAAATTATTCCTTATCAAACTTCTAGTAATTTGTACATGTCATCTTGGTTTTAGAAATCGGTTATCCAAATTTTCTAAGCAAAGCTAGTATTTTCTACACACATCAGTAGTTTCATCAGATCAATATGTCTTTAAAACTTTTATCCAGCTTCCAGAGTCAATTCTTGTCTTTTTACAACATAAGGATATTTTTTGTAATTTCACCTAATCGAAGTAATCTCATAATTTATCGCTTAAATCGTATTCGGTTCGAGACTATCCATAATCAAACAAACATAATATCCCAATCATATAAATCCATGCATTTTCCATTATCAATATGTTCTATAAAGCATAAAGAGGTAGTAATGTATTACCTCAATTTTTGTGCCATACTGATCTACCATATAAATTCCATTCGAACACCCTCGATCTTGAAATCAACTTCCAATAATTCCTTTGATGCATATCAATTGAAATTTCATTAAAAACAGGGCTTAATTAAGAAAAACGGATCGAATTGGGTGATTAATCAGTCAAAATCGGCATATCGGGTTCGAATTTGATCAAACGGACTTATGATTTGAATTCAGGACGTCGAAAAACATAAAATATGTCTTTTCGAAAAATTTGACTTTTTGGTCAAAGTCAATGGGTTTGACTACAATTTCGAGGCTTTCGGGTTTGAATTTTGAAAAACGAACTTCGGAATCGGACTCAGGACGTCAAAAAAACATAGAATATGACTTTTCAAAAAATTTGACTTTTTAGTCAAAGTCAACGGTCAACCGTCAATAGTTAACGGGTCGGGTCAACGGGTCGGATCGGGTCAAACGGGTCGGGTCAAAACTGGGTCAAATTGTCCCAACAGTTTTCGAAGCTCCCCCACTCGTAGTGGGGGCGCGTGAACAATGCTACGGTGTCGAAAAATTCCCGAAAAATTTCTAAAAATTATTTTAAAGCATTTTGAGACACTTACCAAGCTTGGTTCACAATTTTGAACGGTGGAGAGCTCGATTCTGAAACATCAAAAACTTTGACTTTCTCACCCTCCACGCGTCGGCGACTATAGAGACACGGAGGAAATCGGTAGACTCGGAACGATGCAAGAAACACGATGGTGCAGGAGGTGTCGAAAACGGGTGGCCGGATCGACGAAAAACCAACGAAGATTGAGTTAAAACCGACGATCCATCCGGTTGAAATTAACGATGAACGACGCCGATTCACGACGAGAGGTTTGAGGGGTTTTGTTCATCGGTCGACAACGAACACGATGATGGTCTCGATTCGTCGAACGGAGGTCGGACGGTGA